GGACGGGGCAGCGATTCGCCTGGTGTCGACGCAGAGTCTTAGCAGAAGTAATGTGCTATTGTTTCTTCAAAGATGTGTGCAGCCTTCATTTTGGATGGTTTTCTTTGTTTCACCTTTTGTAGTTTTCATTAAGCCTTCTGAATATGGAGAATATTAGCATATCCCATTTTGCCAAAAAATATATTTAGGTGTATAGTCCGCCGTGCCAAAGGGAGAATTTTTCACTCTGGGCTTTGTTTAACAGGGACATTGCTTTCGGAGTTGAAATGAAATCACAGAAAGGTGGGGTTCTTACCACTTTGCCTCAGGTTTGACAACATTTAAAAATTCCTGGGTTGTTTTCCAGATCAAATCATAAATGATCCTAAATTCCATCATAAAGATGCTCTATTTTGGAGGAAAAATATCTACGTGGCCAAGGCTGGGCTGAAGGAAACCCAAACGAACGCAGTGGGACTCCTTGTTTCTCAGGGTACATTCGCCATAGAGTGGTTTTACACCAGGAGAGCCCCTTGGTATCCCTTAGTCCTCAAACTTAAAAATCGGTGTCCTTACCATATCAGGCTGTGGAGACCACAGAAACTTGTGTATTGACTCACCAGTCACACGGCTGGCTAGCTGCCACCATGCGTCTCTGCTATCAGTGGAGAGCCCTGCTGAGAGCTGAAGGCTGTCAGGAATTCTTTCCCTGCTCCCAAAAAGCCAAACATTGCCATTTAACTATTTTGTTAAAATAACTGCTTTGATTTAAGGCTCTCTTCTGGTTGAAGGGGTTCCATATATTCTTTGGCAGAGGAAAACTTGAGCTTACTTAACTTGGCTTCTCTCCCCCACCCCAACTCCACGTTCCCCTCCCTAGGCTATCCTGAGGTGTAATAAATGGTCGAATGTCCTGTTTCTCTCAGATGACAGTGTGAAGAAAAAAAAATAAAGGCTATCATGAAAGGTGGTCATTGATGGTGACGGGGCATCATGTCTAATGACAAAGTTTGATAGTTGTTCAGTGTAACGCGGGGTCTCTAAGACGAGAGGCAGGATGCAGCGGTTCCATGTTAAGTCACCACATGTGATAGGTTGGATGTGAGAAGGGTCGCTTACTTCCTGTCTGGACTCCCCTGACACGAGCCACTCCTGCTTCAGACCTGAGAAGGTTGCTTTGCAGTGGCCGAGATCACAGTTGGCTCCAGTGCTCCTTGCTCTCCTTCCCACACCCCAACCCCATGCTCCCTTTTCAGCCCTCGGTTCGTCCAGACATGGAAAGCAGCCTGCTCCTGACAGTCAGGCTTGGACACTCGTTTGGGGAAGAATAATCGGATGCATTTCCATGACTCTCTTTCTCCTTCTCCTTCTCTTCATCTCCTGAAATACTTCCTAAATTACCTTGGTCTTACAGAATTTCCAAGAAGTAGGCTGCCTTAAGAGTAAATGATTGCGGGGCGCCTGGGTGGCTCAGTGGGTTTAAGCCTCTGCCTTAGGCTCAGGTCATGATCCCAGGGTCCTGGGATCAAGCCCCGCATCGGGCTCTCTGCTTGGCTGGGAGCCTGCTTCCCTTCCTCTCTCTCTGCCTCTCTCTCTGCCTGTCTTTCTGCCCACCTGTGATCTCTGTCTGTCAAATAAATAAATAAAAATTAAAAAAAAAAAAAAGAGTAAATGATTGCTGTCCTCCTCCATTAACATCATAAACCTCCTTTTGTGAGCTCAGCTCCATTAGGCTGTGTGTCCTAGGAAGCTGTGGGAAATAGTTCTAAGTGACAGACTCTCATGGGCTGGATCTTAAAAGACTTTGTGTGTCTAGAAGGAACTCCGTAAAAATGTGATGTAAATGTAAATGTGCATGGATATTGTGTCATGTACTAGGATATCCCAAAGGGCCTTTTAACATAACACTAAAAGGGCATTTTTCAGATAGCATTAAATAAAACGTTATTTAGCTTTCGGCAAAGTTAACAGAATCTGTACTTTTATCCCCAGATGAATTACAACTCTTTTTTTTTTTTTTAACTACATTCAGGGAAATCTTTATGTATTTCTGAGATAAAACTGTAAAAATAAATTTCTTAGACACTTGAAAATTTTGTTCTTTCCCCTCCTTGTAATTCTGTGGCTCTTTCCTGAAGAGAGAATGACATTCCTGACCAATCAAACATAGGTCCGTTAGCATGAACTAGAATAGAAAATGGATAATCTTCTGAATTAAAACACGAAGTGATACTTTCTAACTTTTTCTCATAGGGGCTCGTAATCACAGCAGGAAAAATGGTAATCAGTTTAAAAACAAAGTCATTCCGTGTATATGATGTGCCACAAAGCAGCTAGGCTGAGCACAGTCTGGAAGGAATTGTAGGAGAAAAGGAGCGGTGTGCACTGCAGGCTCTTGGATGTAAGGGTTGCAGTGTAACACCTGTGGGTGGCTTTCTGGATGGATACCCAGGCATCTGTGATACCAAAGGAACTGAGGGACATCTGTCATTAGCTGTTGATTACCATCTCAGGATTGATCCTCCAAAATCTGCCTGGGTTGGAAAACTATTTGAAGAAACATCAGGCGTCTCCTCTAAGTCTCTTTCTTTTTCTTTTTTTTTTCTTCTTCTCATTATTTCATTCTGTAGTTATGTTCACTTAACATGTGCTAGGATCTGTGCTAAGCGTGAGTGAGAGAAAGATAGACACACGGCCCTCTGTCTATAAGAAGTGGTCCTATGGAAGACGAGAGAGAGTAGAATGAATAATAATACATAACAATACGGTGTACAAGGAGAACAGAGGCATTAGCTTGGCGATACCAAGGAGGGATGACCAGTTCTTAGGAAAGGGTGGGGAGAGAAGGCTTTAGGAAAAGAGAGATGGTAGCACCCGGCCCCCAAACCAGAATTCTCCAACTGCCACTCAACCCACACCACATCCACTACTCCTAATATCTAGCAAGTGTTGGTGTGGGCCGCAGATCTGTTCCATATCTCACACTGACTTTCAGTTTCACTATGTGGTCTTATTTGTTACCTATAATTAATGTAATAAATATAAACTCTTTTTTTTTCCTCCTGCTAACACACCTTTTCAGAATACACAGTGGACTGTTGCATAGAAGTATTTTTGTTTTAATAGATTTACATAGCATGGGATTTAAAAAAGATTCTTTAATGTCGCCAGTAATTTAAATGTATTCAGTAGTTTCAAAGTTCATCTTAAAGGAATCACCAAATACTTTCCTTACTGTTGGACTCCCCAATCATTTAGTGATTATTTTTGGAACTGTTGGCATAGCCAGGAATGATCATTTGCCATTGGATGCCTATTGATGCTTTTATTTAAGTCATTCATTTTATACATGCTCATTAAAGACAAGCTTGCAGAATTGCGGCTTGGAGTATAACACTGGCATTGAACCTTACTATGAGTAAGGCCTTCTTCTTTCCGTATACATTTAATTGAATTTAGACATATTTTAAATCTGGCTAAATTTGGTGGGAAAGTACACTTCAAGGATCGTGTGTTTGTGTGTTAGATGTTGCCACCAGTGAAACGTCTCTATGAAAACACGTTCTCCATTTCCAGTATTCAGAGCCTGGCATCACAGAACCCTCCGAAATCTGCTGTGTTTTGCCCTAGTCAGGCTTCCCTACCGCTTTTTTCTTAAGTGGGGATATAGCCTTTACTTCTCTCCGTCTTTGCCCCCCTCACTGTGTGGGAGGTATTCTTCTGAGCCCACTGCCCAAGCTGGCAGCTCGCCGACCCACTGGCCTCTGGGAGACCACTCCCTTCAGTTTTTCTCCTGCCTCAAAATGTTTCTTCCCAGTCTTCTCCTTTCCAGCCCTCCTTTTTTTTTTTTTTAAGATTTTTTTTTATTTATTTGATGGAGAGAGATCACAAGTAGGCAGAGAGGCAGGCAGAGAGAGAGAGAGGAGGAAGCAGGCTCCCTGCTGAGCAGAGAGCCCGATGTGGGGCTCGATCCCAGGACCCGGAGATCATGACCTGAGCCAAAGGCAGATGCTTTAACCCATTCAGCCACCCAGGCGCCCCGCAGCCCTCCTTCTAAGTAGACGTTCTCTGGAGTTCTGTGCTTCATCAGCTTCCCTGTCACATGCCCTCCACTGGCCGGTCCATCCACTGCCACAGACTTAGCCAGCACTCCCGTGTCCCCATGTGTCCCCTGCTCCCATCCTGCCAGCCTCCTGAGCTCTTTGTGCCTCATGGGCCTCCCTGCCCCCTCTGCCTGGAATGTGCATCTCCCAGTAGAGCTGTGGCTTGGTCCCTCCCCACCTTCAGATGTCTCCAACTGCCGTGGCTGCAGGAGCGTTCTGAGATAGCCCTTGTTGTATGTAGCCTTCCCTGTCTGGAACGTAAACTCTGAGGCCAGAGATTCCTCCCTTAACTCCCAGAGCCTAGAACAAAACTCAGTCCATAGGAAGTGCTCCTGTCAGTACTTAAGAATGAATGAATGAATGAGCATGTGTAAGACTGCTGGCAAGGGAGTGTGACAGTGCAGGGGAAGGGTGCTCCTGTGGCTGTCAGGAGTTCTACCGCAGCCAGCTGAGTGGTCTGTGGCAAGTGCCTTACCTGACTGGGCCTGTTTCCTGTTCCAAAATGGGGCTTGCACACCAGATGGGCCCCAAGGCCCTTGGAGGAGCTAACACTTTATCGCACCCTGAGGTAGACTTGGGCTCAGGATGTGCAGAGCAGCCATTCTGGAAATGAGATGACGTCCTGTAAGCCTTTATTTATGTGACTTCTCTCAACCTGACGTTTATATCCTTCTGTATAAGTGCTGTCTCTGGTCAGATGTCTCCTTTAAAAAAAAAAACAAAAGTTGAAGTGAGCAAACCCCTTAGCTTCTACATGAAACATGTAAGAACCAGCACGTTTTGGTGTACTTACGTGTTTATCTATTTTTTTATTTATTCACCATTTTTTAAAAGAATTTTCTACTGTTATGTATACTTAGCAGCCTGCCTCTTTTTGTCAAGTAAAAAACCAATCGCCATTTTTTCCTGTGTTTTCAGATATTACGTGCTGCTGAGACTAGCTGGAGGTAGAACAGACCCTCTGTGACACCTGCCTCCGGTCCGTAATACTCATCCCTCTCTCAAGTAAGTACGTCACTTTATTTTGACCCATTCTGAGCAAAAGGTATCGATTCTCTCTGAAAACCTGTGCCATTATGACATTAAGACAAAGAGGCTGAGAGGCTGAGGTTTCAGATATTTTGCTGTCTGGCAAAAAAAAAAAAAAAAAAAAAAAAAAGTCCCTGTCTTCGAGGTCTCTGCCAGGACTAAAATAACAGTCAGCATGATTGACTTGTGCTTTTGCAAGGGTTTCCGTGATAGGTCTTTTACATATTTGCTTTAATAATTATGGTTGTTTCAAAGGCCATGTCATATTTACCAGTCATACTGATCAGATATTTGGATTTGAAGACAATATTAAAAAGTGAACATCTTTGCACTTTAATGAGAAGTACACTGTCTGTGGTTGGGGAATTAAATGTTTTTTTCTGACATGTCAAATGGTATAGGGCCAGCAAAGAGTGCCCTGGGAGTTTGGGGAGAGAGAGTTTTGCAGGATGGCCCGCCAAAGGAGGTCATGTCAAGAGGGAAGTACCTAAATGCCAGCCAAGGGACAGACTGAGAGTAGGGGGCACGTGTTGCCAGAGAGCCAAACAGCCCTGGGAATGTGTCTGCTCCGTGGAAGGTCCTGCTGGGGACATTGCCCCACATCCGTAACACCCCAGGATTCCTTCCCATCTCCAGAGCTGATGGAGAACACAGACATCCTAGAACCAGACCCATCTTCTCATGAAGGAGCCAAGGAAGTGGATGAACAGTGGTCAAGGTCCAGATGGTTCCTCCTTTTTCCAGAGAGGTTGGGAGTTCAGTATCACCAAATGAGGACATTGGGGATGTTTAGGAAGTTGGAGACGGCTCTCCAAGTGACTGATGTCTACAGTGACTACGGAGTGGTAAAGAGCAGCTCTCATGAGGACACTGTCTTAACCTTAGCACCATATTCCCGAGCGACCACATGCTTTGATTTGATTAATAGCCTTCCTTGAGCCTCTTTTCCAGCATCCCTATGTAATGGGCCATTGCCTATAGAGTATGTAATGCGCTATGTAATTTATTATAACTGCCTAATGTGTGACCTTGTTGGACAGATGTTACCACTCTCCAGGAACCTCAGAATCCAATTTAGATTGACAGGTAAGAACCAGCCTAGACCAGGTAGATTTCCTGCAGTCCATGGACAGAGGGGCATTACAGAATAAGCCAGCAATGACCCTCAGTGATATACCCTGAAATCCTTCACTCATCACCGTTAAGACCTTATCTTCTGATCCCAGATTTCCAAAGTTATGAAATGAAAGCCCTGGGCTCCTGTTGGCTGGAGGGAGCTCCTCATCTCCCATCCCCAGGTCTGAGATTGCAGAGCTGCCCCTGAGCGCAGGCAGATTTAATGGAGAATGCCTCCAGCATTCTGTGTGCTCCACTCTGCCTCATTCTAGGAGCCCACCTATCCCCACCTGCCCACAAGTGAGGAGTTTTCTGTGACATGTGCTAAAAGCAGGAGAAGTCCCCCAGCAAATGGCCCTGTTGGTCTCCCTTATGATTCCCAGCACCCCTGCTCTCCCACACACAGCCATGTGTGATGGTCACACTCACCAATGTTCACCCAGCTGGCTCCTGCTGGCAGGTGAATTGGCCACCCGGATGGGCAAAAAAGGGCAGAGGGGTTGGGGCGACATGAGTATAACCTTAGCTCCACTGTTCACCAGCCTGCAAATGGACTTTACTTTCTGAGCCTCAGTTTCCCACATACCAACTGAGAATACCAACAAGCTAGTAGAGATCTGCCGAAGGCTAGGGGCATAGCTATAGAGTGCCCGGTACGGCGTAGGCACGGGAGAGATAAAGGACCCTTCTTCCCCCCTCCCAGACAAATTTTGGAGAAAACAGTTGGTTACCTTCACAGGCATAACCGTCTGGAGTTTGTCAATATTTGTCAATATTCTTATTTAGCTAGGTCCTGCACTGGGGAGATTAGAAAGGACTCAGCCACGTGACTCAGTAGTGCACTGTCACCTGGACTGGAGACACTAATTCTTGGCCCTGTATCTCATTCTCAAATAAAGTCAGGTCACTGTGTGCAAGTTGATTTCAGTTGTGTGTCGGTTTTCTTGCAAATAAGATGGAAGCATTTATTTAAAAAGCTATGTAAAGATCACTGTGAAAAGCATAGTTTTTTTTTTTTTTAATTTTTCTTAACATATAATGTATTATTAGCCCCAGGGGTTCAGGTCTGTGAATCGCCAAATTTACACACTTCACAGCACTCACCATAGCACATGCCTTCCCCAATGTCCATAACCCCACCACCCTCTTCCTACCCCTCCCCCCCCCAACCCTCAGTTTGTTTTGTGAGATTAAGAGTCTCTTATGGTTTGTCTCCCTCCCGATCCTATCTTGTTTCATTTATTCAAAAGCATAGTTTTTGTCTTACTATACAAATGTTTTCAACTGTTTTTGGCGATTTTTGCATTTAAAGTTCATTAAGCTTTCTTCTTTTCTGAGCTCTTACCTTAGATAGATAAGCAGCCTTAAGAAGGCAAATGTACGAATCTTGTCATTAATGTTTTTCACTACTTCTCAATACCTACATTTAAGATTACTTTGTTTTTAGAGTACAGGGTGTGTCTTTTAAAACCATGGTTCCTTGTTTAAGGAAATTGAGAAAAGAAAGGCATAAGGTGGACTTGTAATGCTCCTTTGGTTAAACTTTTGAGTTTTTTCAACCTGGAATATGAAACCTCCTATATGTTGTATATGTGAGTCATTTTTTTAAGATTTTGTTTATTTGAGAGAGAGAGAGAGAGCATACATGCATGGGTGGGGAGCAGCAGGCAGAGGGAGAGGGAGAAGCAGACTCCCCACCAAGCAGGGGCCCGGACTCTGGGATCATGACCTGAGCCAAAGGCAGACGCTTAACCGATGAAGCCACCCAGAGGCCCAGTGAGTCATTTTTTAATAAGAATATACAAACACTGATTTCTGTGCATTATCCAAGTGATTGCAATTTCAGGGAATAAGTTACAATGTTCACCTTTGTTTTTAGTTTCTTGTTATCTGAGTCAAACTTAAGTCACTGATCAAGTCAGTTTCTCCTGGAAAGTTTCCTTTTTCAAAACTTCTCTGGGACAGATCTTTTTCTTCTTTTATAGTGTAAGTGCTAGGTACTTAAGAAATTGCTGGGAGCAGAAACAACCTTTGCATGCCCTTTTCTGCGGGTTAAATGGTCCTGACCAAAAAATATGAGCTAGTTTTCCCCAAACAGCTTTTTTTCCATTTTCTGCATTTCCCAGAGCTGGTCCTCCATAACGAAAGATTTGTTCCTTGTCTGTGACTCATCTACCTTTCAGTCCCAGCATCTCTGACTTTTGCCTTTTTTCCCAGATCAGCTCTTTGCCAAGCAAATATGACTCAGAGCTCAGGTTCCACGGGTAGTCAGGTGTGGCTCCTCAGAAGCCGGCTCAGCTGACCTTGAGCAAGGTCTCCGCAGGAGCCAGAGAAGCCCAACCACTGTAATGAGAGCCACCTCACAGCCCAATGGAGCCAGGTTTCCACCTCGCTCGCTGCTTTTTAAAAAAGAAGAGGAAGAAGAGGAGCATTCTCTGGCAAAAATAGCTGGGATTTTTACTTGTTTTATTCTCCTTCTTCACAAAAATCATCCAGGCTTCTTTAAGGATAGACGTAAGGATATTCTCCTCTCTAAAACAAAATACTCCTCTCCTCAGAAAGTATCATTCTATTTTTGAAGATTTAATGCATATTTATCGTGAAGTTCAAGAGGCCATTACGGATTGCAATTTAAAGTGTTAAATTGCCAATTAAGTTATTTGGCATATTTAAAAATGCTATTTTCTAATCAAATGAAAGAAATTCCGTAAGTTACTGTGTGTGTATCTAGTTTTTCATTGTTAATTATTAATGGCTCTTACAGAATAGATCCAGTTCATTGTCAGTGTAGTCACCGCTTTTCTACAAGGAGCGGTGGAAGAGTTAAGCCCATAGTCTGTGGAAAGCTTGCCTTGGGAGCTCTGTGCTACAGGCATCATATGCTTCATCTGTAGTCTGCACGCTTGCCCTGCAGAGAAGGCATTAGAATTTTCATTGTGTGGATGAGGATACAAGAATTGAAGAGTTCAATCTGATAACAAAAGGCAACCGATGCACTGGGTATAAAACCCAAGTTTAGGGGCACCTGGGTGGCTCAGTGGGTTAAGCCTCTGCCTTCAGCTCAGGTCATGATCTCAGGGTCCTGGGATTGAGCCTCACATCGGGCTCTCTGCTCAGCAGGGCACCTGCTTCCTCCTCTCTGTCTCTGCCTGCCTCTCTGCATACTTGGGATCTCTGTCAAATAAATAAATAAAAAATCTTTAAAAAAAACACAAACAAAACAGCCCAAGTCTACCCCCAGGTCTTCTTTTCATACTAGTTGATTTCTTTATCGTGATGGGGTCATGAATGGAATGGGAAGGGTAATTGAGGGTGACTGGACAATGGGAAAGTCACAAGAAAACATGGATGTCTGGTGGACTATCAGAGCAGTTCCTTAGAAACTATGGGCAGTATTCAATTAATTAGAGAAGGGATGAGGTCCAAAAAGTCAAATAATGAGAGAAAAGAACCGTAAGAGCACACCCATTAGAGAGAGAAAGATACCTACAGAGTGATTGCAACTGTGATGGGTGAAAAGCTAGGCTATCAAGACCTTACTCTTTCTTCTCCAACGTGTTGAGTGTCTGCTCCATCATTAGGTGTAAATTGAGAAAGTGTTTGTGCATCCTGACTACTCAGAGAAGTTTAGAGAGGTGGAGGCCCATCAGGACTGAGTGACTAGTGAACACTGGAGTATCATCCCCATACTGGTCGTTCTCCTCCATAGCCTGGTGCTGTGGTCTGAATGTGTCCCCCACCCCATTCATATGTTGAAATCCTAATGGCCGTTGTGATGGTGTTAGTTCATGGGGCCTTTGGGAGGTACTCAGGTCATTAGGGGGGAGCCCGAGTGATGGGATGGTACCTTGGTTAGAGAA